ATTGACAAAAGTAGAGCGTTAAGAATGTACAGATTGATGTTGGGAATGATGGAAAGGAGCAGTGCAGAAAAGCCTTGTGAGAGAAAAACTTCTGTTCAGTTACATGCTTCAAAAACACCTTCCTAAGTCAGCAACACTGTAGTTGAACTTGATCCTTATCAGTGCTTACTTCACATGCTCTGTAGCTGAGTATGTCTCTGTGAAGCGTATACTAGCATCTAAAGTTAGTCAGATAATTAGTACTTAGAAACTTTGGTTAGTTAGATGCAACCAAATCCTTAATCTCATTGACTTCTAAGTAATTTTCCTTGTGAAATGCAAGAAGGTGTTGCAAACTCAATGATTTTGTTCATTCTCGGTCCATTCCTTTATGTACAAATATTGAGGAAACGCTTGTATTCTGTATTTTACATTCGACCTTTAAAAATGAAAACGTCTCTGTTTATTCATTCTAAACTGAGCTACGTTCTCCCCTTGAATGTTGACTAATCACTCTCCATTACTCTTTCACCCTATTTATAGCATGGCTGCACTTATTACTATTTGAAATGATCTTCTATGTGTCTGTGTTTTGTTAGCTCCCTTCCTATAACATGTACTCAATCAAACAAGGTCAACGCCTATCTTATGTCTCTAACACTTGGGCCACAAAAGGCATTCAGTAAAGACCTGCTGTATAAATGAATGAATGAGTGCCTCTGGGGTATTGGTTACCCATCACAACTATCTTAATGAAAACATGCAGAGATAACACTTTTCTGTGTTTACTATGTAATTCCTCAAACAATGCCATTAATTTCATTTTTAAAATTAGTGAAACATTTACTAAGAATCTATAGGGCATTAAGGTGCAAGAGACCCAGGATGTTAATATGTGCTATTTCTTCCCCATAAGGTCAAGTAGGTTTACATTCCTATAACATTCTTAGAGTGAGTTAATAGGTGAGTGTTCTCTGAATTTGATAATTCTTGAGTTATAGTTTTGTTTTTATTTATGTGGTATTTTTTTTTCTCCCCAGGTGTGGGGAGTGAAGTCCCAGAAAAGAGGATATGCATGAGCCTAAGAACCCAGCCACTGCCAGTTAACAGAATCAAGACCTACATCATCCAGGAGGGCTTCATGAAAGCAGTAATGTGAGTATCTGCCCAGGGTTGGGGTGGGTGGAGCGGACGGAAACAGAGAGAGAAGTGCTGCCCTCCTCAGGAAAAGCCAACATGGCAGATAACCCAGGTTAACCAATAGCTCCTTCACTTGTCTGTATTAATCCTGTGTTTTATACAGCCCCATCCAATGGCAATTATTGCCCAGAAAGTAAAATACATCTCTTTTCTGCTTTTACTCAACAGAAGTGTCTGACTAGAAGAAGCCAGATGGACAGTGTGTCCAGTTCTGATGGCAGCCCAAGCTAGAATTTTCTTGAATAGCCACACTGGTGTGGGACGCTTATTAAGCAGAGTGCCGTGCCTTATAAGTGGCTGTTCCTCAAGGGAATATGTTGAGAAATAGCCTACACAGTACCATTCCCTTTCCAGAATTCCATTTACAGATGTAGAAGCTCTCTCCAACAACTAATTGTAAAGCATTACCCTCAGAGATTAAAGCAAATCATCTTTAATTCCCTTAAAGAGATGAGTATAAGGTTTGAAAAAGGAGGAGATGTGGAATAATTGAGCTAGATGGTCCTAAGTGTTCAGTTAGGTATAACATTTGGTTTAGAAATTCACAGAAAAGGACCCTGTAATTTACAGTGAGCAAGAGTTGGCAATGCCCTGCAGATATTCCTGCCATGTGTTAAAAGAGATGGCAGAAGAAAGTTACTCGTTTATGGACCCGAGATTCTGAAAGATTGTTTCTTCTGCTAATTTCTGTATGAATTCTCTTCATGTCAAATCGTAACATCTGATTCTGAGGCTTGGAGAATGTGGCTAACTTTATCTTTTCCTTGTATTATAGTTTCTTTACCAAACGAGGACTGAAAATCTGTGCTGATCCTGAAGCCAGCTGGGTGAGAGCAGCGGTCAAAACCGTGGACAACAGGTCCAGTGCCAGGAGGAGCATGACGGAGCCCAATCCTATGGGAACCCAAAGGTCCACCAGCACAGCTGCGACCCTGTCTGGGCAGTAGCCTCTGGGACTGTGTTACAGCCAAACAGTCCATCTCATTTCTCAAGATCATGGACTAATTAGGTTATACCTACCTTTTATAAAAGTGCTGCATGAATAAAATTGTTATTTTTTAATGTCTTTCATATTCATCTAAATATTTTTAATAAATATTTATCCTTGAAGATGATTCTATAT